ATCCATGTTTCTCTCTCTCTAGAAACCCCTTCCTACCTCCCTTCTACTCTCTCTAGAAATCAATAGAAAAAATATCCTCGGGTGAGGATTTTTAAATTAATTAATCAATAATAAATAAAATACAATAAAGATGGTGAGGTTGACCAGGACAGAGAAGGAAAGCCTGAGGCCCTGCAGTCTCACACTGTTTGCCAACCATGGGTATAGATCATTGTGGCGCAGGCTGGCAATTTTGCAAAGGATTCACAACAAGGGGGCTAGTTGTGATTGTGAGTTTCAGATTGTCTATGATTCAGAAGTTCATAGTCTTTCCTTAGTGGAAAAGGGATTCGGCTGGGTAGTTCTTATATTTTTGGTTTGGGGTTGATATTTTGATTTTACCACTTATGAGATATTTTCTAAAATAGTTCTTTGAAAAGAAGCTGGGCATCTTGCATACCTTCCTTGATGAGTTCTTGAACTGTAAGACCTCGAGAAGTTGTACTTTGGAACACTGTGATTATGTTAAAGACTATAAACAAAACTGAAAGCAGTCTTCAGTCTGGAGAAAGCACCAGGGTTTGTTAATTTGTGAAAACCAAGTTTAGTAAGGACAAAGATTATTAACATAATTGTCTCCAGTTTATTTTTATTCTTCCTTTTAACATTTCACTGATCCCTCAGAAATCCAGAAAGCTTGGAGTGATAGAAAGGAAAATAAGGCTGGGGTGAAAGCTTACAATGACTTAATGCAGAGGGGTTTGTTTAAGGAAGGACCCAGGTAAGTTCTAAAAGTTTGGATCACTCGGGGTTCAGTTTGAGGTGGGGCATGTTAGGGCCTTAGGGGCTGGTAAGAGGAAAGGAAATCTGACATGGGAGGGTCAGGCGCTGAGGAATAACCTGCAGCTCTCTGGCAGTTCCAGAAATGTAATCACAGAATCCTCCAGTTTTCAAAGAAGTACACAAAAGTCAAGTCCTGCAAAACTAGCATCAATGATATTATAATAATCATAACAACTACTTACTTAATAGTGTCGGCTAAAGGACAGATGCTTTTCTCGTCCTCACAACAACAATCCAAGGAAGGGTTCTTTGTTTGTTTTTCTCCATTCAAGACCATATTGTATTTTTTCCCTTATTATTATTACACTAGAGGCCCGGTACACAAAACTCAGGGGGGTCCCTCAGCCCGGCCTGTGCCCTCTCACAGTCTGGGACCCCTCGGGGGATGACCACCTACTGGCTTAGGCCTGCTCCGTGGGGGATCAGGCCTAAGCTGGCAGTCAGACATCCCTCTGGCAGCCCGGGAGCCCTCGGGGGATGTCCACTTGCCAGCGGGAAGCAGGCCTAAGCTGCAGTCTGACATCCTTAGCGCTGCTGAGGAGGCAGGAGAGGCTCCCACAACCACCGCTGTACTGGCAGCTGGCAGCCTGGCTTGTGGCTGAGCAGAGCTCCCCCTGTGGGAGCACACTAACCACCAGGGGGCAGCTCCTGCATTGAGCATCTGCCCCCTGCTGGTCAGTGTGTGTCATAGTGACCAGTCATTCCCAGTGGTTCTGCTGTTAGGGTCAATTTGCATATTACCCTTTTATTATATAGGAGTGCCTGGCCAGCCTGGCTGAGGGGCTGATGGCTGTTTGTAGGCTGGCCACAGTTCCTTCAGGGTGGGGGTCCCCCCTGGGGTGCCTGGCCAGCCTGGGTGAGAGGCTGATGGCTGTTTGCAGGCTGGCCACAGCCCCTTCAGGGTGGGGGTCCCCCCTGAGGTGCCTGGCCAGCCTGGGTGAGGGGCTGAGGGCCGTTTTCAAACTGGCCACACCCCCTTCAGGGTGTGGGGGGTCCTGCTGGGGTGCCTGGCCAGTCTGGGTGAGTGGCTGATGGCAGTTTGCAGGCTGGCCACAGCC